ACTATATTACATTATTTGTAAGTACTATATTTCAAGATTACACACAGTTATACGAGAAGCAAAAACATAATATTATTTACTAATATAGTACGAACAGAAGATCAGAAAACATATATCGAGTATTATTTTTATTTAAGTCTATGATAACTTAATATGTACATTATGATTTTATATAATAAAGATCCGATAGGCAGTGCAACGTGTGATTTCCACCTTTCTTCATGTTCCTTGTTTGGTTATGAGCTTAGGGCTGAATCACTCAATCTATTGTCCGTTCGATTTTGTTTATATATAAATTGTATACATTAAGTAATCATAGGAGGTAACAGTATGGGTCATACCAATTACAGGAATTAGAACCTCGAATCACAAGTTATAAACATAAGAAACTTATACGTTTTATTTTCAAAGTACTAAGATTACGATTTATTTACTAAGAAAATATTGGATTTTTTTGGCAGAATACTTTAACATTTTAAATAACAAAGAACATATCTTTTTCAAAAAAAAAATACTTTTGAACTCACCAACTTTAATGTTGACACTCTTTCAAACCACTTGTATCCTCAGGAAACTTAGTAGACAGCTACACTTTCAAACGTTTCGAAAACGGAGCATAGTAGCATCTTGTCTTATCTTTTGCAACGTAAAACATGTATTGTTTTGAATATAATATAAATACTATGTTATCAATACAATGGTTGTTGTTGCTTTGATTACTGTTCTACAATTGTTGTGATAATTAAACATGATGTCCTCCGCCACTGAACATTTCCGTCGTTCCGGTTTGGGGGTGTGACAAAATATTAGTAGATTTGACCAAATTTATACTTACATATAAATTGATAACCAACTTTATTAATCCGTAAATAAGAGCTAATCGTAGGAAAAAGGTGGATTCGAAACTAAACGAATGTGTTTCTAATATATTGGTTACAACCATTTTTGTTAGGTGTTTAAGTTTGTCTAAACTTGCAAAATAAGATAAAAAAAAAATTTTTAATTATCGTTTGATTTTAGATTTATTTAGAGTAATTATTTTATTTAATTAAATTCGTTCCCTGTGTTCGATCCCAACTTACTTTACTACACTATAATCCGACTAGGTACACTGCTTTGGTGCATTTTAGCTTGTTAAGTTCGTTAGGTTATAAATTTTAAACTAGATAGGTGTAATTTACACAACATCAAGTTTTTGGCGTCGTTGCCTCGGAACAACTTATTTGATTTTTAGTTTAATTGCTTTAAGTTATTCGATCCTTTTTGTGTGGTAAAAACCACAAAAAGTTAATTTTCTGCATTTTTTTCTATCTGATCAGCATCCATGTCGTGTGCATCTTGGCCACGTCGTGGTTACATTACAGTAAATTTTTAGTTTACTTATCTTTTTTTCGTTTGACGCAGTTTTTTTAGTTTTTTTAACAAAAAAAATGGGGGGGGGGGGGACATTACGACCATGCAATGGAAGAGTACAAACGACATATAAGGAACGACAACAGATGGGGTCTTGATCCACCAAAAATCCCAACCACTAGAAAGTTTGACATATTCTTGACATGCTAAAATATCTATATTTTTATGGGAAGGAGCACGAGGATGCTTATGAGCATATAAAAGAGGTGGTGGAGATTTCATATTTTTTTAACGCTCCAAACGTGAGTAAAGATGCGGTGATGCTTCGACTTTTACCGTTCACATTTAAGGGTGAAGCAAAAGAATGGTTAAAATCACTTCCCTTTGGAGAAATCATGACATGGGATGAATTTAAATCTGATTTCATCAACCAGTTTACTCCTTCGAAAGTCGCAAAACTTAAAAGAAACATACAAAATTTTCAACAATTAGAAGGGGAGTTGTTATACGATGCTTGGGAACGTTACAAGAGACTGTTACGACATTGCCCTCAACATGACGTCAATGTGCAACAAGAAATCTCGATATTTTATGATGGAGTCAATGTGTGCACTCTCCAACTTCTAGACTCTCAAGGTCCCATGACAAAAGAAGGATCCGAAAACAAATAAAAATTTAATTGAAAACTTCGCCAAGCATTCAAAGGAGTATCACAACCCAAGGGGGAGGATATCACAAGAAGAAAAGCGAATATAAATGGAGTTTCTGAAGTCTTAATGATTGTAATTGTGAAACTCTATGCCATGGAAAATAGGCTTACAAAAATGGATGGATCAATTATTGTAGTACATGATAGATATGAATCTTGTGAAGGACCTCACTCTGTAAGGGATTGTGAATTATAATACAAGAGATCTCAAGACATGGAAAAATATCGACAACTAAACTATAATCTCTATCAACTAGAACGAGTCCAATCCGAGAAGATAGATGCTCTCGAGTCAATGCTATTCAGATTCATGGAAGCTAGCGAAAAAAAATGATGCAACTGATGCAACACTTATAGATTAACAAACATCTATTTTGAGCATCCAGACACAAGTTGGGTGTAACGCCCGTGTTTCTAGGCTTGCCATTTTTAGCAATGTAATAGTCTAGGTTAACCTTGTAACTCAACTTGAAATAATAAGAATGTATTATTTGTGAATTATTTGAATTATGTGATTTATGTGTTTATTTTCTTGATTTTTATAATTTAATGAATTAAGAATGAAATAAGCGTCAAAATTAAAGTGTGAGATACGCCCGATATCTTTGCATAAAGTTGTAGTGGTCGAAACAAGGATTTCAGAGATATAAGGAATGCCAAAATCCGAGTTATAACGAAGAAGTTATGACCTGTCGAAGTTTCGAGACAGAACCGGCACGACGTCGAGTGACGTAAAATATGAATTTAAGATAGAGCGATATTTAGCCTTAGCAATCTAAACGAAAGTCGTAGATTTCATTAAACCGAGAGCGTGCATAAAAGGAACGCCCAAATCTGACTTCGTATGAGGAAGTTATGATTTTCTGAAGTTTCAACGTGGCAGTATGCAGCCCGAATACTCGATTTGAGAACGAGCGGTTTTTAGCCGAAACAATCTAAATGAGAATCGAAGATCTTGTTGTTAGTAGCAAAGCAATGAAAAGTTAGGCGAGAACGGACGTCAGACGAAGAAGTTATGAATTTATAACGAAGTTTTTCTGTCCCGGCCTTCTAAAAATAAATAATAAAAATAAAAGTCAAAATTAGCCGACGGAGTCTAAATGAAAGTTGTAGAGTATGGTCTGAACTTCGCGTGGATATAAAGAACGTTGAAAACGGAGCTCGTATGTGAAACTTACGCAATTTAGAAGTTTGACAAGTCAATTACGCCCCGCGTAATTTGAGTACGCCCCGCGTACTCAGTCGGTTGCAACTTGTCTGACCAATACTTGAGTGCCACCAGGCGACGCACGCAGTGACGTCAAAGTACGCCCCGTGTAACCCGAGTACGCCCCGCGTACTGAGTACGCCCCGCGTAATTTGAGTACGCCCCGCGTAATCCCAGACCCAGCAGCCTATAAATAGAACTCGAATTCAGCCATTTTCTCTTGTTCAAACTCTTCCCTCTCTCTAAGTTTTGCCTCGTTTTGCATGCCGTTTATGCCCCAAAGCCCCGGTATCATTCCCGAGCCCCGAAGCAAGATCCGAAGCCCCGAGGATCCCGAAGAGCGTTATTCCCGAGCCGAAACGCTGCTCGCGAGGAGCCCGGTTTTGTGAAGATCTTCCAGATCTACGGAGAAACACCTCTTCTGCAAGCCGTAGTGCTGCCCGATCATCTTCTGATCAAGTGAGTGTGTAGTTATTTTCTTTCCAACGCAATATTATGAAGTATTTCCTATAAAATATGTGTTGTGTGTATATATTTGGTTGTTATACGTGTGAGTGTGTATTCACTCTCTTCTATCTTATAGATCTGATGTATTCTCTATGAAATACGTGTTATGTGTGTATGCCTCATCTGTTATGTGGAATATGTGTTGATTAAAACATGTTATACATGTTTTTAAACTATGTATAAAAATGTATATTTTTATCTACTAATATGTTGGGTAGAACATGGGTAGATAATTGGTGTGTAATAAACAGATGAGATGCCTCGGTGTTATTGGTGTTATTCTAGTCATTCAGCAGAGTATGGATGACGACCACGGACTATTCTAGACTGTCCTGTGGAACACTAGCAGGCTCATTACCTGTAGGTGTTGTGAACGATGTGTTCACCGGTGTACTCTATCCCCCACATGGTTGCCTTTAGGACACTTAATGTTGAGGAAGCCCCTCTGCAATAATGTCCGTCCCGATGAAAAATCCTGAAATAGGTTCCTTATAATAGACGTTATTTTTAGGAACGTAAGGTGAGGATAACGGGAATGGGTAATCGGGTTTATTGTTGATTGTTGAAATTAAATATAATTATTGTGGGTTGAAAACCCTATATGCTCACCAGGCTCCCAAGCCTGACCTACTCAGTTGATTTATTTTACAGGAAGTGGCGCAAGAGCTTAAGATGGGCGAACATAAAATTGTTTTGTTTACAAGTCTGTATATGTATATATTTGTTGAACGACTTGTAATGTTATCGTTTATGCTTTATGACCTGTATCGGAACATGACATCCCGACTTTTGATTATGAAATGAAATCATATTTCTTTATGAAATGTTTTGATAAATATCTATTTTATCATGTTTTGTTTTTGGGAACAAATTCCGCATCTCTTTTAAAATTAAAAGGATTTACTCTGAAAATTATTTTAAAAAGCATAAATGAAATCGGTCTTTTCTGGCCGAGATTTTGGGGATGTCACATTGGGCAATTAACAAAACTTGTACAAGAAAAGCTATCAGATTTACTTTCAAGAAAAGTCGAGTGAATCCCTATGGCTCAAGTCATGGTTGTTGATACAGAGGAAGATGATGAATTGGTGCATATGAGTGAACTTGAAGAGGAGTCTAATCAGTCACTCGAAGTAAAAAAGAAAGAAGAAGAAGACTAGCGTGAACCTGCCTAGTTGCCACGACATGGAGGCAATAGTGCCACATCGTGGGAAATAAAAGAAAATGATGATTTTTTCTATTGTTGAGCCATATCGACCACCTCTACCTTTTCCATCCCACGCCAATGAAAATTTGGTGAAGGAAGAAAACATGAAGTTCCTTAGGCATGATGAATTTGATCACATGAAGGAAGAAGAGTGGGATGAATGGGAGGAGCCTTTACCTGAAGAGCAATTGGAAAAAGAAGTGAATTATTCGAAACCTCGACTTTCAACGCCTATGATTTTTGAGGTGTTTGCTTTAACAAGACAACCAAATCCAGTAATAGAGCTGATTGAAGAAAAAGAAGAAGAATATGATGAGCCTCATTTTGACAAGAAAAACCCAAAAAGAGACAAGACAAAAGCTAATACATGGGAATGAGGAAAGAACCCAAGCGACAACACAAAGAAGATGTCAACCTAACAATGCATGAAAGCTCAAGAAAGGCATTCAACAGATGAGTTTCCTACAAATGAACAAGGCTCGATATGAAGGAGAACGAGGAGTTTACACTTCCACCTGATGCAACGTAGAGTAGGAAGGAGTCTGGCTCATGACTCTTAAAAAAGAAACGCTTCTCGGGAGGCAACCCGATGTTCTTAGAGTTTGCATTTTCTTTTCTTTTTTATTTATTTTTAGTTTTATTTTTCATTTTAGTTTTATTTTACCTTAACCAAATGATGATGTGTTTCTCTAGTTCTTGATCCTATTTTGTAGTGTTGAACAAAAGTGAAGCATTGAAGGATCTTAATTTAAAGAAGCTGTGCGATTTTTGAAGACTATAATTGAGAGACAAGTTTTTGAAAAAGTGTGGGGTTCCCACATAATGAAGAGAAAAACATTTTAAAGCAGAGAATATTGGGAATGGTCTTACACATTACAAAGAGTCGATGCCTACCTGTTTCAATTTTAGAAGATTCTCTGAGAAGACACCATGACATGGACATCATCAACACGGCGTGGATAAAAATTTTAATCACGACTAAATCTTACTACACCATGACGTGGCATCCTTAAACCACATTGTAGTGACATTATTCTGCTTGACCTTGATGACCATTTGCTCAACACCATGACGTGGAATTGTTTTCCCACGTCGTGGCAGCGCTTCAACAAATTTTTCAAGAATGGTTCTTTGATTTCATTCGATCAACCACATTTGCATTCACAAGAAGAAGGTCCAGAAGTACTGTTTCCAACAATTATATGAGAACTCTAAGCTTTCCACACAAGTCTCAGACTTCGATCTTGCCACTACTACCAAAGGGGGGGGGTCTATTCCAATTCTTTCTTTTTTTTAATTTTATGTGCTTTGATTGTTTTAGTATGCAATGATGACGTTGCATCATTTAAGTGTGGGGTAGGGGTAGAATTTAGGAAAATAAGCATTCTGATTAAAAAAATTAAAAAATGACTAGGATTTAAATCATTATTAGAAAGATTTGAAATAATAATTTAAAATTAAATCTAGTCATAATTAACAAATTAAATGATAGTATTGTGTGGGATGATCCGATGAGAGCCCAAATGTTTACCTGAGCTAATATATGTTATAGTGTATTTGTGGTTTCCCAAGTTTTAGTGAAAAGCCATGAGATATGAAAGAGAATCTAGTAGCTTATATGGCATAATAAGTTTTCCTGAGCGTACCTGAAACCTATCCAAGAGAGCTTATGTAGTCATTGCACTTAGACCAATACCTCTAACCAATAAATGTTGAAGTTAAACTCTATTGCTTAAGCATGTAGGATTTGATTGGAAAAAAGTGAGTTATAAAAGAGAGAGTGGGAGAGAGAGAGACACACACACATAAAGAGAGAGAGAGAGAGAGAGAGAGAGAGAGAATTGAAAAGGCATAATGAATTTTGAAGCTATCAAAATATGAAGATCAAAAGATTAAAATTCTAAAGAATAAAAAATTGAAGATATCAAAAATCAAACAAAAAGGTGGTGAATTCGTAGAAATCAAAAAGCAAATATAAAAGAAGTGAATAATTCCAAGAGCTCCATTGTGGTATCAAAGTTGAAATTTTTCTAGATTATGTATGCTTGGGTAGCTTAACCAAAAATACATTGAGGTTAAGAAAGATTTCTGAGGATGGATTCAGAGGGTTGCAAAATGAGTGCCATATAAACTAAGGGGTGAATGTTCATAAGGATTGTGAGTATTTAGGATTGGGAAGTGTTTCAGGATTATAGATACAAATACATGCATTGTGGTCTTGGGATAATGTTTGGGATTAAAATGGATTGTTTTATGTGATATTAGTAAGTTAAAAATCAGTTTGCTTGAGGGCAAGCAAAGGTTAAGTGTGGGGTATTTTGATATGTGCATATTTAGCCATATATTTCATACATTATCTTAATATTTTATGCTATGTTATAGAACAAAAGGTACTTAATCGATTATATGTTGTTATGTAGCATAAAAGACATGCTCAAAAGCAATATGGAAGCTAGAAGCGGGAAAAGGCGAGCTTAGGAAAGTAGAAGACACAAGAAGAATGTTGTTAGACAGCTTGACCCCTCATCAAAATTTTAAACATATCTTATGACTCGTAACTATGATTAAGGCAATTCCAAATGATCTAAAAACTAGACATAATTTCGGATAACTTTCGTGTTTTGAGAAAATTCGGTTTTCCAACCACAACGACGTGGTGAATGGAATCTTCGTGATTCTTGACGCTGTCTTAGGGAATACGGGATAAACACGAGGACCACGACGTGGTGGCTACATTTTAGGAATGTGTGCGTGTGTTTATATATATACATATACATATACATATATATATATATATATATATATATATATATATATATAGGTGACAGTTCAAATAAAAACAATAAATAGTGTGAGAACGTAAAAACACTTTTTTATGTTATTATTCTGCAATAAATTTTGTATCGCAACTTTATGTCATTATTCAGGAAAGAATAAATGAATAGTCAAAGGTTAAAATTAAAATTATAATTTACTACAAAAATGCACATACATAAGTTTATAATAGAATAATAACATTGTAATAAATATATGACTAATCGAAAGTTAATATTTATATTAGAATTACTAAAATTTATTACAGAATAATAATATAAACATAGTGTTTTTACGTTCTCACACTATTTATTGTTTTTATTTGAACTTACTTCTATACATACATACATATATATATATATATATATATATATATATATCCGAACGTAGGGTCGAATTGAGAGACTTGGAGGTGACTTTCTGGAGAAGTATTACGAAAAAACCTCTGGAATACCCTTAGAAGAGGAGGAAACAATTGTAGCTCAAGAGTTGAAGAGATCCTGAAGAAAACATCATAAATTCATTCGGTTTGATCATGTGTAGCTTTATTCCTATTGAATTTTTGTGTTTGATTACTGCCATGAGTAGCTAATTTAGTAGACTTTCATTTAGTTAGATGAACCCTTAATAACTATGGTTTACTTTATTAATTTATGGATTTATAAAATTTGGTTTGGAGCTTGTGTTTGATTTAGTTACCTAGCATGTTAAAGTGTTTCTCTTTGTTTTTTTTTAGAACGGTAGAAATTTTATTAAAAAACTAGCAAGAAGCTAGAGGAAAGAAAACATCACAACAAATTACAAGCTAAGAGGGGATTATGAAGCCAAGAGGTCTAACTAATTTTAACTTTTCTAAGCCTACTAGAAATCCAAAAGAAATATCTATCAATCACATCATCTAAAATGAGAGACTTCTTGGGTTGAGCCGTTCCAAAAATGGAGGAGTTACGAAAATTCCAAAGACACCATAAGGTAGTGATGATAACAGTGTCGAAAGCTTGTCGCTGCCCTCTTTTGAGGGAAAGAGAATCAGACCACGAGAGGAGAGAATCAATAGAGGATAACTGAGGAAGCTGAACATCCCACCAAATAGCTAACCGAATCCATAACTCAATCAACTGATTGCAATGGAGAAAAGGATGATCAATAGATTCAACAGTATTAGAGCAGACATGGCAAAGAATGGAGTCCATAGTATTCCCATGGAGCGAAAGATTTTCCCTAGTTGGAAGGCTTCTAGACTGCAATCTCCAAATAAATATATTCAGCTTGATAATTCAAGTTAAGTGTAGCTTAGTGACCATTAAATTACATGAACTTGTTTACCTAGTGATTTAGTGACCATTAAATTGCTAGAGCTAGGATTGACCACATCTTATTTAAGTGATAAAAGTAACAATTTAATAGTGTTAGAGAATATAATTGTGACCATAATTGTGTTTAACAAATCTTACATAGCCCAATTATAATTAATAACTAATTTTGTGTTTGCTTGTGTAGGACCTTACAAAGTAGTACATGAATTGGTGAAATATTAGTCTATTTGACCAAATTTCTAATTACATATAAATTGGTAACCAACTTTATTAATCCATAAATAAGTGCTAACCATAGGAAAAAGGTGGATTCGAAATAAATGAAAGTGTTTTTAATATATTGATTACAACCATTTTTGTTAAGTGTTTAAGTTTGTCTGAACTTGCAAAATCAGATAAAACCCTTTTTAATTATTTTTTGATTTTAGATTAATTTAGAGTAATTATTTTAGTTAATTAAATATGTTCCCTGTGTTCGACCCTAACTTACTTTACTACACTATAATCCGACTAGGTACACCGCCTAGGTGCATTTTAGCTAGTTAAGTTCGTTAAGTTATAAATTTAAAACTAGATATGTTTAATTTGCACCACATCACTAATACCCCTTTTAGATTCTTTTATTTTTAAATTTATTATTGTGATAGATTAATGATATGTGTCATTTGTTCAGGTGCTAATCATATTTTGATTATAACCAATTCCAATCAGATAGATTACTCATCATAGAGCACCTATATAAAGAAAACTTGAATTTGCATATGATAATTAATTAATTATAAACATAGAGAAACTATTACCATACATAAATAGCATTTTCTTCTTGTCAAATATGGTATATTAAAAGTTATAAGTAAATTTAAAACTTTTCTAGGGTTATAATTCAAATAACTCAAAATGTCTACATACAATATTCAATCGAAATATCTTATTTATTTCATTTGTATGCTATGATAATTTCACATTTGTCAAGCTTACATTTATGAAGTTTGTTTTATAATTTGATAAACATTCACCTAGAGTTCCTTCACTTTTCAAATTTCCTCTTTTTGCTACATAGTTGTTTTTTATTGTTCAAATTGGAAGTTTGGATTGTTGTAGTATGATTTGCGAATCATGATTCAATATGATTTTGTCATACTATCTAATTCAGATCAAATTCTTTATGAGTTTTTATCTACATCAGTGATGGGTAGTGAGTGACCGAAGTGTATATAGAAACATAAAAATATCATCTTATGTTTTAC